GTAGAAAGGATCCTTATTGGTTCAATAAGGATCCTTTCTACCAGCTGTTTCCTTGGCCAACCTCTTGGCATTGATCTTTCCCAGATTATCCGTACCCATTTACATCTGGGTAGACTGGAATAATGATTTATTCAATCTCTTGGCATTAGCTTGTAATTCACAAATATCACAAATATGGATTTTGACATGGTCTTACTAACCTGTATTAAACTAAGCCCACTACACTTCGTGAAATGAGATTGGTGGCATTTAAATCTGACCAATCAGATCGGTTCTAGAAATGTAAACAAAACACAACACCGCTTTGAAGAGATAAGAAAACATTCTTTCAAAGTAAGGTTTGATTTTCTCTTGGCTTCACCTCTTGAAGGAAAATCTTACTCAATTCTGTACATAAATATTCATCAAAATATGTAATGGCACGCTGCTTTCATTTTGTCTACGTTCGCAAACAAAGCGTCATGACGGGTGACTTGTTTTGATTGGCTAAAATTTGCTACCAATACAGAAGGGCTGATTTTGATTGGACAATATTTAGCTGTGAATATGTAATTTTTCTCACTCGTGTTACTACGGCCCCGAGGAAGTATGACGAATGAGGGTGTGGTTTGGACATGATGGTAATTCAAATATCCTTTATTGTTTCAATGAAATGGTTACACTCGGTCTCTTTTTTTTTTTATTATAGTTACCGCAGTGTTTATGTATCCATATACAAAGACGTCAATGGTTAAACTCTAATTTACCAGTTAAACGTTATGATCATGTCAGTTTTCAAGAGATTTTAAATATGGATAACTATGTTTATATGAAAGCTAATAAAAAGAATCTAAGAAATAGATGTGGTTTATTTGGTGGTAAAGATGATACTTTGGACAGCTTACGGTAAGAAAACTGCAAATCTATAAATAATATTACTAAGTTTATTTTGTAACAGATGTCAAGCATCTAGAGTTTGAAACACTTTTATGAACGAATCATTTAAAGGAAAAGATTCGCCATCTGTTTAACCAATCATACCACAGTCTCAGAAACAGGTATTGTTTAGGCTTATCAGCAATAGTGCTCACAGCTCACTGTTGAAATTTGAGTCTTCAAATCCATGTGTGCCCAGAATTTTCTGAGCTTGAAAGTTAAAATGACAACTTGACTTTTTATACATTGTAGGTTTGGTACACAGAACCAGAATGAAGTTTTACAATCAGCACCAGTGAATTTATTAAGAGCGCTTAACTATGATTCTAAAACAACCATGAATGGTATATTTGTACAACCACCTAGTCCCCTCAGTCTACATAACACACATGCTGATGAGAACCATAATGGTCCTGATTTAGCCCCACATACTGAGTTCCAATATAAACTAGCTTCTGTGATCAGCCATATTGGAAATGAGTATTCTGGACATTTTGTTGCGTATCGGAGAACTCCAGTGCCAAGTGTAAAAAACACTATGGGAGCTAAATGGCTCTATACATCAGATGAAACTGTGAAAAAAGTCAGCTTTCATCAAGTAATTAATTCAGAGGCTTACATGTTATTTTATGAACGAATGCCCTCTGAATGAATGCCTTTATCTGAAAGGGAGGCTGTGCTGCCATCTTGCTTTTTGTGTGCTGATTGAATATGTGTTAATATCCCAAGTGTGTCTCAAAAGAACAATGATAGGAAAACATAGTGAAATATTTCCTTAGCCAAAGATTTAATGATAGTGAAATTATTTGAAAATATTTTCAATAAACTAAAAATTGGAGATTAAAGATGGGAAAATGCTAATACTTATATGAATAGAAAGTAGAGGTGTTCTAATGACTTGGAAAAATATCAGTTTGTCTGACATGTCCATAATTAATTCATAATTAGCCAAATTATAAGATAATTCCAATAAGTTACCGATCAAGAAAGGTCAAAAAGTGTTTTTTTGTTTATCCAGACTGTACATACATGAACATTTATGAGAATACATAATAATTCATAAGAAACAACAATCAATCAAATAGTTTGCTTAATTTGACACTAAAAAATAAGGAAACCCATCTTTAAGATTCTTTTATAAAGTTTGGTGTGTTTTCATAGTGTATTGTGAACAAAAAAAGATGATGTGATCAAGTCAAAGTGTCAATGGAAACAAAATATGTTAAAAGTACAATGAGTGGAAATTATGGTTTAAAATGTTTTAACTAGCTAGTAGAGCTCAACTTTAGCTTTGCTGAAATGTTTCATAACTAAAATCTGAGGTTCCATTCTGTAAATTGATACAGTATAAACATTTTCTTTGTAAAAGTGAGATTTATCACTTGTTAAAACATGTATTTATTTTGAAAGAGAGAAATTTAATGTTTGTTCATAGTTTATTGTGAAATAAATTTCTGTTTGTGACATAAACATTTCTTTAAGATTTGTTATCTATTGAATATTCAATATTTTATCTGTTATCATTAGACCATTTTGCATGCCATGATGCGCCACAATTATATATTGGTACTTTTAATTAAGAATGAATTTACTAATATTAGCATAATGTGGGCTCTCAAATATAGGATCATCAAAGTCAAGCTAATGTCGGCGCCAGACACCCGAGACTGGTCGTACAAATAGGGGGCAAATGGACGCAATGGAGGGACAGCTGCCGGACTGAATTCAAAATGTGGAGACTTCACGATCACAAGAGTGATTTGGAGGGTTCTCAAGTAGAAATTTTCGAAAATTGGAATTATTCTGCTACATTCTGACACATATTTTGGGGCAAAAACGTAAGAAAATGTCCCTCCCCCGCCTGTACCTCTACTAGCGTCGCCAATATTCAAGAATAAAAATATGGTATAAAACTCTTTTCATTTTGATTACTTAACTGTACTTTCATTTTTAATTTCTTTTTAATTTCTATGGGATACCGCTTAATATTTCTTAGAAACAAATATGACGTAAGTTATTTTATATTAAGTCTATTGGACCTACTGTACTTTCATTTTACATTACTATATATAGTACAATTAGATAGTCTTACCATTAAAGAGACAAGGTTTGACTTATCGTAGCTTAGTCTCATAAACGAGATTTTAAAAACGCCGCGTCAGATTACGCCTGAAAATGACATAATTATAATAATACGCCCCGTTGTTGCCTACTATGTCCACATGAGCGTAGAGAGGGAGACAACATGGCGGAAAAATCAGACAGTGACAATGAAGTTATAGCACTTATATCTACAATAAACGGTGTCAACCTGAAAAAGAGAAGTCACTGTGTTCGCTTTTATCGGCTTTAACCTGACGACTCGTTTATTCTTGAGACTCTGCCAAAATATATAGAAATAGAAAGTGATATTCGTTGTTTGAGGAATGTTTGAAGGAAATATGCGATTATAGTGCAGTGTTATGTATCATAACATAATATTCAATACCCAAATCAACCCAAATCAAATCTATTGAATTCATTGATATTTCTTAGAAACTCATTGTGCATATTATGATCTATTGTGTTATTGCTAGTTATAGCATAGGCCTATAAAAGAAATTAGCAAAACGCAATAAGGGGGTTGTAATTTCAGACATTTTTATTTTAGTCCTAGGATTCTAATTTCTGATCAACAGGGGGTAAGTATATACAAACTATTTAATGTTATATAGACTGAAAACGGAATTTCACTTTTTAAAGGAGTCTTTTTGTTGTATCTGTAAAGTGAAATTGAAATAGAGCTGTTTCCAATCATTACCCAAAGATTTTTTCATCGGGCGCGGTAAGTTGACCAAACCTTTGTCACAGAGGCAGGGTCTAGAAACCAATTGCTCAACTAGAAGATTCAATTCAATTCAATTCAATGTCTGTTCATGGAAGATTTAAAGTTTTTCAGTCTATAGCTAACGCTATTTCACTCATTTGTGAATTACTCGTTTCTGAGTTTGAATATAATTTATTTGTATATATACATTAGTACATTTTCATTTAATTTTGTATTTTGGGGGGGGGGGGGGGGGGGGTGGTCTTACTTGGTTCAACCAGTCCCGATGGTATGATCGGGCGGCTAGAAACTCGCATATACATAGAAGGCTTTAATTACAGTGCATGCCGTTCTATAAATCATCAGATGTGTAGAGGTGAACTTTGGGACAACAGAATTTTGAAGGAGGTCATCACAACACCAGGAATTTATTTACGGGTAGATGACAAGTTAACGTTCGCTTCCAGCGGATGCTGATATCGATAATTAGGTAGTTGTTGGTAGTCGTAGTAGTTGGTAGTTGGATTGGTTCAAATTGGATGATTCTGTGTTGTTGGTTTGGTTGTTGATTCTTCGTTAGATCTGGTCGGTCGAATGACATGGCGGTGAAACCCGGCCCTGGGTGGTGTGGCGTGACTTACTCGATCTCCTTCATTCACTCGTTCTGATCATGGTATTTCATGTTGATTGGTAGTCGAATGGTAGTCGTTGGCTTATATATGACTGTATATATTTTATAATTTACAACCATTCTACTAAGCACAGTTCTATTCCTTATATCAGCTGATCCACGATATCAAATTTCAGAGTAAAAAGAGTGGTTGTTGAATATATACTAGTAGGCTACGTTGTGAGACAAACTGCCACATTTGTTTGTATGGCGCTGTATTTGGTTCAAAATAGGATCCAGATCTGATTGTGTAAATTCTTAAAATCGCGTGGTCATTTCTTAGGTAGAAATGACTAATCTTATAAAATTAAAGTATTTTTAATGTTTTATCTCCTATCTTATTTACTTTTTTCAATTTGAGTCTTCTAGAACCTAAGTCTAACCGTAGACTTTGTAGAACGCAGAACGCGAATTTAACCCTTGGAACTTCACTTCTGGATCTTGTTCGCTGAATCGTAATCTTTCGACTTTCTTCACTGGATCGTATTCGCTGAATCGTGATCTTTAGAACTTCTCCACTGGATCGTATTCGCTGAATCGTAATCTTTCGACTTTCTTCTTTGGATCGTGTTAGCTGAATCGTAACCTTGAATATTACGGAAATTAAATTAGATCACGTGACATTTTCTGCATATCATTATTATTCGTGTTTTTAATGAAAAATGAGTAGGTGGGTTCGTTTTGCCGCATTGCCCAACTTGCCGCATCGTGCCGAACTGCACAAAAACGACTTCTAAAACGAAACTAAAGTTTTCTTATAAAATCCGGAATGGCCATTTGTTTCACATGAAACGAAATATTTCAATCTGTTGTCCCGCATCGATTTTCTTTTTATTTATTATTTGAAACTATAGTTTCAAGACTTTCGTACTGTGCCTTTTTACAGAGGCATACTTTTCGCTATTATGGTGACAATACTGAGTTTTCAAAATATAACCCTCACCGATCACGGTTTTAGATTCCGCAATACTTATTTTCCTGTGGATCCATCTGAACATTTTTTCTAAACAATTGCAGGTTCGTCTATTTTTGTCTCCAACTGCCGACGGAAGAGTGGAGCCAATCAACCCCAGCTTCTACCTTGTCCACCAGGACATTCTGGGACTTATCTGGAACCAGAGGGGGTTGAGCCACTGCCGAATTATAGAGCACATCGAATACGAGAATTTCAAACTTCTCCTCGCTTGATAATTCTGATTTACTATTCAGAAGATTCTTACTTTTAGACATTTCAGTTACCATTTTTTCTAGCACGTGGGTGACGTTATAGGCTAGCAGTAGAGGGACATAACTCTTGCAAGTTATGACCAATATTTTATTTATTGAACTTGTCTTGTTTTGTGTTTTGGATTTATCTATTTTGTATTACGGTTCTGATCTGGTATTTATTTTATTTCAGATTTTACCATAGTATTATAGTTTCGATTTCCCTAACAGGTCCAAATTATAAATAAAACAGATTAAAATATTTCGTTTTATGTGAAACAAATGGCCATTCCAGATTTTATTAGAAAAATTTAGTTTCGTTTAACAAGTCGTTTTTTGTGCAGTTGGGCACGATGCGGCATGTTGGAAATGCGGCAAAACAAACCCACCAGAAATGAATTACCGGTACCCCATAAACTAAAATCCTACCCAAAAACTTAAATTTCCTCAAAAAAGGATAACTCCGTGTATTTCCTGTTCTATTCAAATTTTAGATACTGTTTAGAATTACAATTTATGAAATAAATGACGAATAATAATGATATGCAGAAAATGTCACGTGATCTAATTTAATTTCTGTAATATTCCAGGTTACGATTCAGATAACACGATCCAGTGAAGAAAGTCGAAAGATTACGATTCAGCGAACAAGATCCAGTAGTGAAGTTCCAAAGGTTAAATTCGCGTTCTGGGTTCTACAAAGTCTACGGTTAAAATTAGGTTCTAGTAGACTCAAATTGAAAAAAGTAAATAAGATAGGAGATAAAACATTAAAAATACTTAAATTTTATAAGATTAGTCATTTCTACCTAAGAAATGACCACGCGATTTTAAGAATTTATACAATCAGATCTGGATCCTATTTTGAACCAAATACAGCGCCATATGTTTGCACCTTATTCGGTTTTTGAAAAGAAAATCAGAAAATAAATTGTATTCCGTAGGCCTATACTTAAACATAAAATAACATAAAATAAAAAAAAATATTTTTATTTAAAGGGACATGTACGCCATTCTCTTTGACCAATCAAACATTAGTCTTAGAAACGGGAATTAAGTCAGTGTTCACATTGCAGCTCACCGTCGAAATTTGAGCTTTCAAATCCATGTGTTTGCAGAATTATCCGCTAATGAATGTTAAAATGACGACTCGTCAGGAATATGGATACCTTTTGATGATTTTTATATCTTACTGAGATAAAATCACTTAAAAACAGAGAAACCATTGAAGAAATCAAATATCTTAATTTACTTTAAACGCAATGAATCAAATCCTAAAGTAGTTGATGATAAACTAAGCAGTACCGCACAGAAATCCTTAAATTTATCTTTAGCCCTTATGAACAGATTACTTTTTGTAACGAGGTTGTATCGGAAATTGAGAGGCGACTTATGAAAAAAGAAACTACAGTTACTCAATTAAAGACCTTTACTCGAAAATAGTAACAAATCTGACTTATTCTTCTTTGCCGGTTACATATTTGATAAAATCTGTACAGGAGCAAACGATAGGATTTTGTCACTATATACTCCACATGAAATGATTAATGCAGCTGATTGGAAAAAGATATGTCTGTTTGAGTATCACTATTCACACAATAACTATAAGTCTGGTACAATTCCAAACTATGAAACTGATTTGGATAATAAATATTCATACTATAGTGAATTATATCATGCCGTATCATTATCAAAAAACCTTAAATCGCTAAATACTTCAGTAATACAAGAACGCACTCAGTGCATCCAGGCATCATTATTACATGAAAGCATTATGCTTTACATTAAATGATCAAAGACAACCCAGTTTTGGACAGTGACCTAACCGACCTTATAGGTGACGTAGCTGAATGGATTATATGTGTAGATTGGTCTCATAGTACTGTCAACATCCACCATCGAGAATGAGGAGAAAGAATCTGATGACTTTGCATCTTACTTAGCAACCCCATCTAAGAGTTTTGTGAGATTGCAACTTCCATTTCAATCGATAAAAATGTTGCTGCCAAACAATTTTTCGTGTAAGACTAACATTATTTGAGTGATATTTTTACTAATTCGGGGACATTTTGAGAGGATTCTTTCAGGTTTCATGATTTTGGCCATAGTGTTTTGGCCGCATGCTGTGATCTCATTGGTCGAAAAATCCCACAGACTGAAAACGGAGGTTAGTGTATTAAAAAAAGTCACGAGGAGAAGAACAGTGAGTGAAACAGCTGACAATTTTTTCATTTAAACCCTTAATTCTTTAAATTACGATTCTAATATTATTATAAATTGATGTTGGGATCTTTTGTAGTGGAAATTAGTGTCAAGTTGGTAATGACAACTCTGTATTTACTTAGTTCTTAAACGGCCGAAAAAATTTGTTTGTAATTGCCACAATTTAACCATGACCTGACAAAGATGTCGCTGTTATTGTTAACGAGTAGATCAAAATGGCCGCCTTTATAGCTGTTTACTGACATAGTGTTTCTGATGAAGGCCTATTTATGATTGAAAATGTAGGTTCATTTGTTTAATTCTGAGAAATTTTAGTTGTTTCGAATAAGGTCCTTAGATCGACGCTTGCAGAAGAGCGGCCTAGAATCTGTAATTTTGCAACCTCGTCGAAACTGTCAATATGGTCATTGAAAATGAAGTCTGATATGAGTATTGAGTAGGCCTAACGAAAACGTACAACGTTATTTGTACAAAAATGTCCATATCTTTGACTATTGCTAGTACTAGTAGATAATATTATTCTTGTTAATTTCTACCATTACCAATATAATAGGTAAAAAGACTTAAATCTGGGCTATTTTGAGGTATAAATATTAGGAATGTAAAGTGAACAAACTTTGATTTGTTTACACATAGATAATTAGAATTTGACTGGATTCATCCTTTCCACATCTTTTGATATCAAATTCTTATTTAAAACCTATTTTTGCAGAGAAAAAAAAAACGAGAAATTAGGCAAAATCGTACTGGCTAATTGATGAAAATGGAATGACCGAATATGAATGTCGAAAACGTTGACTTCAAACTTCTGATCTTTGGACACACATGACAATAAAACTTATTTAATTGATAAAAAATGCGTTCAATTCTGCATTTAACTGTGTACACTATGTTTTTGTGAGTCAATGTTGTACGTTCAGAAGGGACAAATAAATAGTGGAGAGGTTGGTTCACGAGTTTAGACAAGGCCGTGTTTCGATTGATTCTATTGCTAAGAAGTAATTCTATTTTGATCATGGAGTGCTTTTAAATCTTTGTCAGACTGCAACTTAAAAGGCCTTGTCAAGATCACTATGCTTTTCACATAAGCTGATACGTTTTCAGACATGATTTATAGCCGCATCAATTGATCGACAGCCAGTGCGCTTGCGTGGAATTCCCAAATCATCCTATGCTTTCTGAAACGATTGGCAAAATTTGATTCAGAAACCATTGAAGTCGGAGAGACTAAATTCAGAGATACTAAACAAATGACGTCTTTGTAGATTTTAGAAGTACTGGTATTGGACTATTGGAGAGTTTTATACAGATAAGAAAATAAATAATGTCAGGAAAAGCGAGAGGAAGGGCTCGGGGACGAGCTCGTGGAGGAACAGATTCTGGAGCTTCCAGAAAACCTGGAGAGCACGAGGGGCAGGTTTGTAAATTATATTGTCTCCTAAAGCAGAGCAGAGTTACTGTAATTTGTCTGTTCTATGATATGTTATCATGGTGCAATTTAGTGTGCTCAACCTTCGCCAATGTTCAATAGTTTCTGTGAGTTAGACAAAAACTCCTGTCATAAAGGCTGACATATTGTCATGATTTGATTGCTCTTGTCCTTGTGGCCAAAATGATATTATGAATATGTTGATTTCCACTTAAATGTGCCATTTTGTTATCCTCTTAATGTATATTTTTGGAAAACTTGCATATTTCAGTCTAAACAAGCTGCTGCTGCCCCTCCTCCGGCTGGTGCTGGTGGACCTCCTCCAGCCAGTGGTAGAGCTTCATACAGAGGTGGGGCTAGAGAGATGCGTCCTGGAATGACTGGAGATGTGCCTAAACCACCAGTAGAAGCAATGGCTGGAATGGCCTTGGGTACTGGTGATGCTAGTAATGTGCCTAGAAGACGAGCTGATTTCAGATACACAGATCCAAATACCAGACCAGCTCATATTGTAGATAAAAGAGGTTCGACATAATTTACCAGATTCAGAATCCCAGACTTCCTTTTTTTAGAGGAATTCCTTTATTTTTCTGGCCAATGGTAATTTTTTGAATAAAACCACTAAAAATTTTGTTTGAGGGATGGAAATATTTCAATTACCGGTATAGGAAATGAATTCCCAAAATCTCAAAATTGTCTGTACCTCAAGACTGTTACTTCAATATAAAGAAGTCAACAACATTGTTCATACTGTTAATTTTTTATGCTCTATTTCAGGAAGTGCTGGAAAACCTATAGCATTATTAGCTAACTTTTTCCCATTGGAACAACAACCTACATTTGTAGCCCTATATCAATATCAAGTGGACTTTAACCCTAGTATAGACAGTAGAAAATTGAAAGCTGCTTTATTATTTACTCATGATGAAATGCTTGGTAAAGTCAAAGCATTTGATGGTGGAATTCTGTATCTTCCCAAGAAATTACAGGAAAAGGTATGGTTAGATTTTTTTAGGGTATTGCTTGAATGTTATGGTGCCAACTTCAATAAGAAGTTATCTCCAGGCTTTTGGAAAGCAAAGACCAGGAAATTTTGCTTATCATTTAACATGGAGTATGAAGAGAATGGCAAGATTTACATTGTAATGATTATTCCTGCATGCGACAATGTGTTGATAAATCAAATTGTTATATACTTATGCTAGGTTACCACAGTATACAGTAAAAGAAATTTTGACGATACTAAAATACAAATTACTATCACCTTGACCAACGAATTGCCTCAAACAAGCCCTCAGTTCTTACAAGTTGTCAACATCATCTTTAGAAGGTTTGTAGATTTTAATTACATCAATAAGACTCATGGGCTGATATTTTGATGTTGCCGTTCCAGTTGTGGATTTATATTCTTGACATCCCCATCTGATAATATTCCTAATGTAATCTAAAAATAGTTAAAAAAACATCATATTTCTATGAAAGGTTTTAGAGTTGCTGCCCTTGACTGTCAATTTGTGAACACTATTCTTGCTACATTTAAGACTTCTTTGAATAACAGACTCAATATAAGGCATGAATGATGAAGAAAAATAATTCAATGGTTTTGTTTGTTTTATTATTATAGATTGTTGGCTGCTATTGAAATGAAAGAAATTGGTCGTCATTATTTCAATCCGTCCTTAAAAGTTGACATTCCAAGACATAAGTAAGTATTGGAGCTATTAGTATAGTAAATAGTGTTGATATTGTTAACAAATTATTTTTTTTGAAAATTTTTTTGTATCATTGATCAGAATATTCTAACCTGAAAAATGCTTCCAAACAAATGTTTCGCAAGAAACTTAAAGTACCAACAAATAATAGAATTGTAATAAATGAACATTGCAATCAAAAGTTAATAACCAAATGAAAATTGTAATGTAAGATTTATTCCCTCAGGCATGAATAAAAAATTTGTTACATTCTGTAATGAAAATGGCATAGTCTATTGATAAATGCATTTTCAACTATTTTTAGCCATATTGGTGATAAAGGAAGACCTGTCATAATATAACTAAGAAATTTTTTGTTCTTAAAATTATTCAGCCTCTGAAACCAATGTATTTTCTGTTTTAGATTGAGTGTAATGCCAGGATTTGCTACATCTATATTACAATATGAAAATGCCATATTACTGGGAGCTGACATAGCTCACAAAATAATAAGAACAGATTCAGTTTTAGACATAATGTATTCCTTATACAACGATCAAAGAGGAGGAGGTAGTTTTTATGATAAAGTGTTCAAAGCTTTAGTTGGTTCCATTGTCCTTACAAGGTATGTATATCTATCGAATGTTATATTTCATATTGTCACGATATGATATTTCAGTATATCATTATAACTACCATATATCACAATTCGGTGGTTTTTAGGTATTTTTTAATCCGATGATATTACTAACAATATAAATTCCAATACTGGTGTTATTGATACTGGTATATCACCCAGCCCTACTTTATTTCATCAATTATTGATGAAATGCAGTAGATCTGTGTGATATACCGCACCGGTATAGGAATTCATATTGTTAATAATATCATCTGATACAAATAAACCAAGATACTACCGAATTGTGATATATGGTAGTACACCGAATTGTGATATATGGTAGTAACCATGATATATCGGTAAATTTTCGTCCAGATAAGATCATCTACACAATTTCAACAAGTAACTGAGAAATTTAAAACAGATATTTTTTCATTACATTAATGACTTGAGTTTTTAGATATTTGTTGTTTTTTTTGTAAAGATTTTTATCTCAAGATGATCTAGAGGCATGACAAAGACTTCCAAGAATTATTGACAAGGTGTATTTTGAAAAGAGAAAAAAAAACATGTAGATGCCACTCAAGGCTATATTGGTTAATTGCTACTCTTTGCTTTTAAATAAGGCAAGTATCTTGCCATATCTAAATTGAGATATATATCATATTAAAGGAATCCATGTTACAAAACGAGTAACTAATTGATTATTTAATTTTTAGATATAACAATAAAACTTACCGAGTAGATGATATTGATTGGGAAAAACGTCCTACCCACAAATTTAAACTACATAATGGAGACGAAATCTCTTATGTTGATTATTACAAAAAAGTGAGTTTGTTTTGAATATTTGATCACAATTTGAACTTCAATATAAAAGCTAGTAGCCCATAAACCTACTTAAGTGAAACATGATAGAAATTAAACATGGTGAAGAGGCCATGCTCTTGAATAAACCAATACAACAACTTGGTCTAGCTCAATGGTTCCCAACCTATTTCAGCCTTCACACCCCTGGAGCAATCACGTAGACCTTTCATACCCCAAATATTTGTTTCATCCATATTTGCAGCATGTGATGATGTGAGGTGCTCTCTCAACTCAAAATATATTCTTCTCCTATGCCAGTTGGCCACACCCCTGACACCCTAGTCCCAGACCCCCAGGAGATGAAAACACCCCTGGGTTGGGAACCAGGGGTCTACATCATAATGTATTCTTGCTTTCCCACAGAAGTTTAAAATTCAGAAAAAGCAAAGAGAATACGAATAAGAAAAGTCTTCTGTTTATCTGTTGTAGAACTATGAAATAACTGTTAATGATCTCGACCAGCCATTACTGGTTTCTAAACCTAAAAAGAAAGATTTAAATAGAGGCATGAAAGATAATATTTATTTACTACCTGAATTATGTACATTGACAGGTAAGTAATCATCCTCTATAATCATCAGTTTGATATGATAGTACATAACAGAATTAATTCAGGTCTAAAAATATGATGAAATCAAGAAAAATTGTTGGATGGACTATCACAATGCTGGAAATGCTGTACTAATAATTAAGATACAATGCTCATTGGATACAAAGAGATTTCTCAACAAAGGTTCATTGAGGTAATAATTTGTTGCAGGTTTATCTGATGATGTACGGGCTGATTTCTCTGTTATGAAAGATGTAGCAACACATACTAGAATAGCTCCAGAAGGCAGATGTAAAAAACTCACAGATTTTATAAGAGTAATGAATAGGTAAATATCTTAGTCAGTAGAGAACCTACCTGATTAAAAACATTATACATTAGTGGGTTAGATTCATAGAGATAGTAAAGAGGTGTTCTAGATTTTTATATGTGTCGGGGACACTGATAACATTAATTTACACCATTCCAAATTTTAATCAGATGTCTGCGGTTTCTGCAATTTCACTAAAACTAAGTGTTTGACGTATTCGCCAATCACGAAAGGGCCTGACGTCATCAGACACTTGGTTGAAGAGGAAATAGAATGATTCTATCGCGTCCCTTAAGAAAAATTAGAAAACCTCTTGACAATCTCAAGATTGCTGTATTTATATTTATTATCAATATAGACATAGAAAAACAAACTTAGCTAAATAAAGTCTAAAAGAAAAAATGAAGTGACAAATCCAGTGGATTGTGAACTGAAATCTTCTGTAATTTTGTCTGGTGTTATTCATGTATCTTTTATTTCAGTAATCCCAAAGTTCAAACTGAAATGAATGGATGGGGACTTCGATTCTCTCAGAATTTATTAGAATTACAAGGTCGTGTGTTACCACCAGAAGCAATAAGTCAAGGACAAGTACCGGTATGTTCAAATTAAATTAGTTTTTCATTTATCAAAATAGGTTTTCAGATATCTATAAGATGTGTCCATTTTTCTATAATATTATGGATAACCAAGTTCCATGTATTCAGAATAATTCTAAACAAAGCACTGGAACATTAACCAGTTTTCATTTTGAATGAGATATCTATACTGAACAGTTAAAGAAACATTGCATTTTCAGATTAATTGGAAAAAGTCGTGCACGATCAAAATTGTTTCTTAATAAATATGATTTTTAGATCTATATGATATTCAACTGATAATATCAGTTGTGTTCGAACCTTGGGAACCCTCAGATGTCATTGGGAGCAAGTAAGTGATGTAGAGGAAAATCGAAATGCATGTGCAACACATAGCAGATTTCTGTGTAAAAACAAACAGATGCCTACCTACCTGCCTAATTCAGTTGCTGTGAAGACGGATAAGTCATGGGACATGTAACCTTAAAAACCTGAAAAAGCCATCGGATAATTAAATGCCGGATAATGTACTCAAGTCAAGAAGTATATAAGCTCTCTCTATTGTTAATTTCAGTTGAGTTATAGACCAGAAGATTGTGACTGGTCTAGAGATATGAGAGGTAAAAGATTACAGTCTGTTGTTAATTTAACAGATTGGATTGCTATAGCTACAAAGCGTGATGGTGGTTCGGCTGGAGACTTGGTAGATACATTAATACGTGTTGGTGGACCAATGGGTATGAGAATCAACCAGCCTATGGTGTAAGTCAATGGAGTATTTATATCAGTTATCTTAGTAATATTGTAATCAGATGTTCAGAATTGAAAACTGAAATGTATTTGGCAGTCCATGATGCAGAGCTATTGGTTGGCTATAGCAAGGATGAAAAAACCCATCTTATTTAGTAGTGATATTGCTGTTGTTTTGACCTTGATCAACAAAAAGTTATTGTTTTTTTGTAAACATTGATAAAAAATCAGAGTCAGATAGAAATATTAAAACAGAATGAATGAAAAATACAATAATAAAATATTTTTACTGTTAGAATAGTGCTCAATACATCAATTGTAGAGTCACATAGAAATATACAGAATGAATGAAAAATACAATAATAAAATATTTTTACAGTTAGAATAGTGCTCAATACATCAATTGTAGAGTCACATAGAAATATACAGAATGAATGAAAAATACAATAATAAATTATTTTTACTGTTAGAATAGTGCTCAATACATCAATTGTAGAGTCACATAGAAATATACAGAATGAATGAAAAATACAATAATAAAATATTTTTACTGTTAGAATAGTGCTCAATACATCAATTGTAGAGTCACATAGAAATATTAAAACAGAATGAATGAAAAATACAATAATAAAATATTTTTACTGTTAAAATAGTACTCAATACATCAATTGTAGAGTCACATAGAAATATTAAAACAGAATGAATGAAAAATACAATAATAAAATATTTTTACTGTTAAAATAGTGCTCAATACATCAATTGTTCAGTCACATAGAAATATACAGAATGAATGAAAAATACAATAATAAAATATTTTTACTGTTAAAATAGTGCTCAATACATCAATTGTAGAGTCACATAGAAATATACAGAATGAATGAAAAATACAATAATAAAATATTTTTACTGTTAGAATAGTGCTCAATACATCAATTGTAGAGTCACATAGAAATATTAAAACAGAATGAATGAAAAATACAATAATAAAATAATTTTACTGTTAGAATTGTGCTCAATACATCAATTGTAGAGTCACATAGAAATATACAGAATGAATGAAAAATACAATAATAAAATATTTTTACTGTTAGAATAGTGCTCAATACATCAATTGTGAGTCACATAGAAATATTAAAACAGAATGAATGAAAAATACAATAATAAAATATTTTTACTGTTAAAATAGTACTCAATACATCAATTGTAGAGTCATATAGAAATATTAAAACAGAATGAATGAAAAATACAATAATAGAATATTTTTACTGTTAAAATAGTGCTCAATACATCAATTGTAGAGTCACATAGAAATATTAAAACAGAATGAATGAAAAATACAATAATAAAATATTTTTACTGTTAGAATAGTGCTCAATACATCAATTGTAGAGTCACATAGAAATATTAAAACAGAATGAATGAAAAATACAATAATAAAATATTTTTACTGTTAAAATAGTGCTCAATACATCAATTGTAGAGTCACATAGAAATATACAGAATGAATGAAAAATACAATAATAAAATATTTTTACTGTTAGAATAGTGCTCAATACATCAATTGTAGAGTCACATAGAAATATACAGAATGAATGAAAAATACAATAATAAAATATTTTTACTGTTAGAATAGTGCTCAATACATCAATTGTAGAGTCACATAGAAATATTAAAACAGAATGAATGAAAAATACAATAATAAAATAATTTTACTGTTAGAATAGTGCTCAATACATCTATTGTAGAGCAATATAGAAATAATGTATATATATGCAATAAATAATATTGTAATTGAATTTTCAGATGTGAACTACAGAATGACCGTAATGAAACATTCTTAGAAACTCTACGTAAAAATCTAACAGAAAGAATACAAATGGTTTTAATTGTGGTACCTAATAATAAAAAAGATCGTTATGATGCTATAAAAAAATTCTGTTGTGTTGAACACCCTGGTATGTATACTAATAAGACAAGATTTATTTGTCAAGTCAATGTTTTAATTGTGGAGTGAATTTTTAGCTTTCCATAGCTCATTTCAGAATGAAATTTCAGTTTTAACTGTGACAGACCCTTTTAGACTGTATTTAGTTATAGTCAGTCCGGCAAACTTGAAGAAGTTGTATTATCACAACATCTTCAACAGTCTATATTAAAATCCTTGTTAAGCTCAGGGAATGGGAAACTTATGTAATATTTTTATTTACCAAAAGTACAATATTTCTATCTGTGTTAAAATCTCTCTATATTACAGTACCATCTCAAGTAGTAGTAGCTAGAACATTGTCTAAAAAACAGATGTTGATGTCAGTAGCTACTAAAATCTGTATACAAATGAATTGTAAATTGGGTGGTGAAGTCTGGACTGTAGAAATTCCTGTAAGTACTCTTAAATAATAATAGTGTATTCAACGCTTAGACAATCATGACCTAGAATGCTTTTGAAGAATATGTTTATGCAAGCCTTAGATGATTTGAAAAAGGTTTTGATAAAATTGATTTGCAGACGGTCATAAAAAGTCTGATTCGTCTTCACTATGGTCAAGGTATTGCATACTTTTTCTCATACCTTGATTGCAATAGTTCCTTTGTGTCATGGAAGATTGTAAATAAAGTAATTTGATTGAAATGTAATCAAGTATATACGGCCAAACAGAGCTCTTGAGACAGTAAACTTAATGGCTATTCAGCTCTCTGTTGAGATCCCTGATTGGCTGTATTCACTACAATGAACGGACTCATTTCATCCCTTCATATTGATTGCGACTATGATGAGGATTTCGTAATCAGAAATGCATGTCAAGTCGGCCATAGTCTATTACACATCAATCAGATTAAAATTAGATTATAATTTTCTTTCTTATATTTTGATATTTTTGGTCTCCATTGTGATGTAACAATCTACTTATAGTCCATTCCCTGTTATGTTTAGTGTTGTCTGTCACTCATTTTCTATTTTCATGTTGTTACTCGCATCTTCTTTCTCATAGTTGATGGTATAGTGTCAATACTTGGATTTAACAGACTTTTCCTATAAAAATCTTGTGTCCTGTGACTGAATTTTAAATTAATATTTGAAAGCTGCTCACTTGTCAAAATTACCCTCATTGCACACATTCATTATTTGCCCAATTAGGATAAGAAAAGTAGAATGTATCATTAATTTTCATTTTCTATAGCTGACTAAACTAATGGTAATTGGTATAGACACCTATCATGATTCATCACAGAAGGGTAAATCTGTGGGTGGTGTCATAGCCAGTTTAAACACCAATCTAACTCGATTTTACTCTACTGTAACTCATCAAACTCAACATCAAGAACTAATAGATGGACTAGTAGCTAGTCTGAATGGTTTGTTCATCTTGCCATCATTCTCTGTTATGTTTTCATTTCTAACTCTAAACTTTTTAATATCTATGTTTCATACCTAACCCTAACATTTTAACATCTATGTCATATCCAATCTAACACCTTTTATACTAGTTGTCAATGATATTTACACCAATTGTTGCAGCTGCCAATCATTATTTTTATTATAAAATTTTGACCTGATAGATCTTATTGTGGTGATATTTAGATGTACAGCATGATTCCTATCACAATTCTTTCAAATTATGTAGTCTAGATTATCTTGACATTCAAAGGATTGTAAAGAGCTTTTGTCATTTTTTTTGTGTATAGGGGATACTGATGGCATCAATTTCCATTTTTTAATCAGACGTCTGTGGTTCCTGCAATTCAACTAAAACTATATGTTTGATGACGTCACTAATCACGAAAGGAGTTAACTGACTAAGCATATTTTGTGATAAGTGACATCATCAAATACTTAGTTTTAGTGCAATTGCAGGAACCACAGACCAGTGATTGAAAGTTGGAATGGTTTAGTTTCTCTGTTACATATGAATTTTTAATAGAAAACCTCTTTAAAATCCCTTTAAGCTAACAATTATATCATTGGCAAACTCTTCACCAATATTTGTAACACCTATTTGTATTTTTAACATTTTTCTGTACAAGTTCTCTAGAGGCACAATTTATTTTCAGCAGTATAGTTAATTCCTGATTGAATTCGAGGTTTAATTAACACTAATTTCAATATTTATCTTTCTCAAATTCAATAATGTCTGAGTTTTCTTAAAAACAAACTTTTAGTGGTGATTCAAGTATAACAAGCCTTGTCTGATCTATCTAAAACGGATTGTAAAGAGGTTTTTAGAAAAAGTTATGTGTATCGGGGACATTGACATCAATTTTCAACATGCCAATATTCAATCAGATATCTGCGGTTCCTGCAATTCTGCAAGTGTTGTTGGATGACATCACTCATTGTAAAATATGTTTCATCTCATAAGGCCCTTTGCGATTAGGGACATCATCAAACAAATAGTTTTAGTTGAATTGCAGGAACTAAAGACAAATTGAAATGGTGTAAATTGATACTTATCAGTCCCTGAAATACATAATAAATATAGAAAACCTCTTTACAGTCCCTCCAAAGCTGGAGTAAGATATTTAGACCCTGAAAATCTAGATCACTACTCTAAACTGGATACCTAATTGATGGAGCGGAGCCACTTGCTGATCTCCTGAAATGAAAGTTCCAGAGGCGATGCTTAAAAACATAGATATTGAAATTATTGACAGTTTGTTACTAAAACACAGTTAAAACCAGGCAGGTTGACTGTTCTATTTTTGTTTTGTTTTGGACATCTTTAGATTAAGGATGATCCATATTTTGATTTGATTGTTATCTAACCCATGTTTTTACTGTTAGTTATCTGGTACTATGGTTGTTGGTATTGATACCTATCATGACTCTGCTGAGAAAGGTGCTTCTGTTGCTGGTATCATTTGCTCATTAAACAAGTCGTTAACCAGATATTATAGTATGGTAGGTCATCAATCACGCCATATTGAACTGGTTGATGGACTACGAACAGCCATGAATGGTATGAATATATTTTCCTGTTTTCAAGTCTTAAAATCAAATATATTTGAAAAACATTATTGTTACTTTTAAAAACCATCAGCCCCAATCTAGGTGCACAAATACGAGTTTCTGCTGTTGGTTGTCCTAATTTCAGACTAAAGAAGCAAGTACTGAACTACTTGGTCTATGTTAAAAGTTGATGATGGACCAACTCTTGATTGATTGTGACAAAAGAAAATTTCCTGATTTTAGGAGCACTCAAACTCTAGTACCTGACTTAATACTGATGACAATTCTTACTGTTTTCCACAAGATCATGTTTTTGTTAAACAAACTAATGTATCTCATTTGAAAAGGAAATGTCTTGATGCCAACTTACTATATTAGGTGCCTTAAGAAAATATCATGAAGTAAATGGTGTATTACCAGAAAAAATAATAGTCTATAGAGATGGTGTTGGTGATGGACAGCTACCAACAGTGTTTGGTCATGAAGTTCCACAATTACTAGAAGCCTTAAAGAAAGGTGGAGGTTCCAATTACAAGTAAGTTATTCCAGACTAGTAAATCTTTAACCTGAATTTTAGTAAGTGGAGAAAAATCTCTCTGAAATGGTTGACTTCAAATTGACGTACGATTTGGCTTTGTCAGTATTCAGCAAATAGATATTTTCAACCAGGCTCATCCTGAAATGGCAACCACTTCATGTAGGTTTTGGGGTCGGAATTTTAGGGCAGACCATCATGTTCACCACTGTTCTTTCTATTTCAGTCCAAAATTAGCTGTTATTGTTGTAAAGAAGAGAATCAATGCTAGGTTTTTTGCCAAGAATAATAGTAATGTCAGCAATCCAGTACCTGGTACATGTGTTGACAATGAAGTCACTAAACCAGAATGGTAAGTGACCTCTCAAATCTTTGAACAAAAGATTGGTGTATGATTCCATACTTTATTGGACTTTGTCAGCTTGGGTTTCTTTCTATGCAATGTGTCTAATCTGTTGTTTGGGATTTTGAATATTCTAAAGACTGCGTTGTTGGAGATCCCTCAACAGTATTGAGAGAAAACGGGGCTGACTCTTGGAAGCATAGGCTGTGGCATCAGAATTTTTCGTATTTTGAAGGATTTGAACCCACAGCATCTAATGGCTAAGCAGATAACGATCTAATTCACTACAGACTGAGAATGAGGGTTAGGTCATGGTTTTCTGATATTCTCCTGGTTATCTTGAAGCTCCATTTCATCAGAAAATGTTGCTAGCTATGTGATGCTTTATTACAGGTATGATTTCTTCTTGGTATCTCAATCAGTACGTCAAGGTACAGTCACACCAACACATTATAATGTTATCTGGGATCAAACTGGGTTAAAACCAGATCATATGCAACGTCTTAGTTATAAATTGACTCATCTTTATTATAATTGGCCTGTAAGTATTGAGCTTCTATATTTCTTTGCTTGTGTGGTGGCATCATAGGAACACAAAGTTTTTGGAAAAGTGACTTTGTGTTGGGTTGAGACTTGCTTAACCTACCAGACGGACAGATGTCTGATTGAAAATTGATAGTGCCAATTGATGCTATCAGTGTCTCCGATATACATTGGGGTAGGGCTGCAACAATTCTTGAAACTGCGATGCGATACACTATATGATACTCATTCAACGATACAATGTATCACGATTCATTTATTAGAGAAGGAAAGAGAAAAATAGTCAAAATTTGTAAAATTACTTACAATTTTGTCACTTTTAGCACTTGAAAACATTTAGAAGTAAGGAATTGTGCAGAAAATCTCAAATTTTGAATTTTTTAAAATTTTGATGTGAAAACCATACTTGGAAAATGAAAACATGACACAATTTCTTATACACACAAGGATTCTGTGTCATTTGTTAGTAAAGGGGTCTTAGAATTAATTGTGCCAATACATCACGATTATTTCTATCAAACGCAATACATCGATATGGATTGGGAAAGAACTGTGATTCATTGATTTATCAGTGAATAGTTGCAACCCTGATTAAGTGACATAAAAAGATAAGCAAACTTCTATTCAATCCTTTTAAAGAGAAAAATATTGCTCACTATTCTAAAGTCTAAACTTTTCTATTTTGTTTCTGGTAAATTGACCTGAATCAATGTATCTTTTATATTTTAGGGTACCATTCGAGTCCCAGCACCATGTCAATATGCTCATAAACTGGCTTTCTTGGTTGGACAGAGTCTCCATAAAGACCCTTCTTTAGATTTAGCGGACAAATTGTTTTTCCTATAAGGTGTGAAAGTAAAAAACTTTTCAGAGTGTCCACATTGTTACTTTTTGTTTTGTTACTGTTTTTCTTCCAAGCAGGAAGTCAGAATATTAATTTCCTAAACAGAAGGATGTAGTAATTGTTTTAGATATTTTGATAAACTACACAATATTTTTTAACTGCGGTCAAACAGACAGTTAATTCCGATGTGTTTTTGATGTGTTTTTGTTAACAACGCAATTGTTAAGTGTCACTCAATCTTGCTGGGTAACAGTAATTTTTTTTTTCCTTCTTTCTTTCTTGATATTTTTGCCTCCATTGTATTCTAACAATTTTTTTTACCGCAGTCTTGTTCTAATTCTGATATTATCTTGAACCAATCAAAGCATGTTCTGTTGGACCCATTTCTTGAGAACACCTACATTGTGGAAAAGGAAAACCCAAACATGATGTCATAGTGCAGAAAGGGATACTGAATGATAGTCTTTGATTGGTTAATAATAACATCCTTAAAACATGAGTGGTAGAAAACTTGTTAGATTACAATTTTTAATTTTAGTTGTAAAACTTTAAACTTGCTGAAAGACAATAGCAAGTTATTGTTGTATCACGAAAACAAAATTTTTTATTTACTGTAACTTTGGGGTCTAATTTGATCTTTTTCGTTAATGCTTAATGATTTCATAATCTTCTGTGTGTTTGTTTCAATCATAAAATACCAAATGTATGTATGGCATATGTATTTCATCATTTACAATTTCATGTTCTATCTGTAGAAAAGTATTCTAGTTGAGTTTTTGTACTCCGAGAATAAAAACAGTTCACTCAATTATCCTATTTCATCAATCATGATTAAACTTTCATTAATATGAATTTTATTGCACTTTTTTTTGTGGTATACCATGGATTTTGGAAAAACGATAAAATACTTGATGAGTTATTGCCCTTGTTCTTGAAAACACGATCAATTAGCCTTCTGAGCAGTCTAGAAAGCACAATTCTTGACGGATTTGAACGAAACTTGAGGTGAGGTTGTCTATTAATATTCAAATAGGAGCCCTATTGAAAATAAAAAAAAAAACATTCAATTTTCTTCTGGAAATGTATTCAATGTCAAGGCAAGTGGGCCACGTAACCAACCATCAATGAATCGTGGAATTAACCATGAGAAATATGCAATTTATTCAATAACGTATTTCAATGTGCATTACAGACCAACTGGACTTAAAATCACTGTTTCACTTATTCAATGATTTTTTCATGATCAACGAGAGGGTTACAATTGGATATTTTGAATAACTCTTTCCCATGTTCGGTTGAATGGATGAACAAGTTACTCTCAGTCCATTTTCCAAATGCTCGTCTGAGGTTCGACGAGGACTCTTCACGAATTCCATTTTGCTGAAAATTGTTCGCAGAGCCGAATAATGCCATTTTTGACGCAACATATCTATTGAGATTGGGAAAACCGTCATGATTTTCACGATAAAGAGATATCCGATAGTGGCCTAGATAAGTGAAGCCTTGATAACGATTTGATTGGTCAGATTCATACATTGACAGCGACAATCTGCGGGCCACACCGACAGTGACAAGAGCAAACCAAGCATTGGCTCGCGGACCGCATTTCCCTCAAATTTTACATGACGCCGCGGGCCGCACGAAGTCATCTCGCGGGACGTAGGTTGCACAGGCCTGCTCTAGAAAGCAAAATTCTTGATAGATTTAGACGTAACTTGATCAAATTGTTTCTTGCTACCCTAAAATAAACCCTATTGAAATTAAAAAAGAAATATAATAATGGCACGATTTTCCTGAGCCCGATTTTCATACATGGACTGAAATAGGACATTGTGCTCAAGTTTATTTTTTCAAGCCCACAGGTAATGTAGTGCGTATATTGGCGTCAGTATGCCCGTCCACAATTGCTTGTAAACTCTAGAAGGCACAATAATTTTGGTTGTGTGAGGATTCTGAAGCTCTAACTAAAGGTAATAATGCGTCCATGTGAAATCTATTTCTTGATTCCATTTGTCGAAAGTGGTATCCCAACAGTTCATGTATGTAAAATCTTTTTGTATCAATTCACAGGTGGAGACTTCATTGACTGAAATAAATACAAGAGTTGAGCAGCATTTCACTATCAATAAGGTGAAGATATAGGAAGGTGTTAAAATTGTGAATTGATTCTAACGCAAAACTCGTCCAGTGATGGTACGAGCCTCTCCAGACTGTGATTACTGGTTTATAATTTGTGTGTGTGTGTGTGTGTGTGTGGGGGGGGGGGGGGGGGGGGGGGGCCCCCA